ATATATATATATTTAATAACACATCAAGAAACTTATGGAATTTGTCTTTTATCAATTAGATATTGATTGTATTGTAATATAATAACCAGTCAGCCTAAACATATGGTCTTCTCTAAATTAGGTCCACCTCTTCCCACTTATTTGTCCCACCGTCTCACTTTTGAGTCTACATTCACACGGACATCTTCTCATCACAGACATACAGGTCTAACGGATTTTATATAAACAGCATGATCACACAGAAACAAGACATCTTGGATTTTTAGGCCGCAGCACTCTGTTCCTTAAACTCTTACTTGAACTGCAAAAAATTACACACACAACCTGTTCCTGGTAGATGACACTTAAATTTACATTTCCGTTTATTAGGATGCCTTATGACTAACTTGTCTGTTAGCTCCTGTACCTATGCAGCAACACAAGCTGCAACATCAAGATTGATATGTCATCCTTACATTTTCCTAAGCTCTGCTATTCTGTCTTTTTTTTCCACATTTTAAAGTGCCTTTTTTTAAATATACCCCTTGATATTTGTACCATATCTAGTTAGTCTTGCAGACAGCCATGAATAAAGGGAACAATGCTGATACTTATTTATATTTAAAAACCTCCGAGGACTGGACAGCACCGGAGAAAGCAATGGGACACTTCAGCTGAAGGTCCCCACCTTCATGTCTGTCCTGGACCGACAGTGACTGGAAGCACCGTTACTACCTGCTAGATACGGAATACTGGATGTTAAATGAGTTTCCACAGTCAACCTCACTATATGACACCATTGTGAAAAAAAACCACAAAGAGCGGTCAGCGCAATATCGGGCTATAATTAAAAAAAAAATTTGGCATCAGGATACAGGATATGGCTTTGGTGTGAGCGCACACACTCATCAAGTGATAAATGTTTAGATGGAACTAACTGGGAAACACGAGGCAACGGCTGATGAGAGAGGTTCCCAAGCTACACCTTGAAACAAAGGTCAGTGAAGCAGTGAAGGGACGTGGACATCACAGCACTGAAGTAATGCCTTTCATCCAGTGACAACTCTGTGCGCGACAACTCACCTCGTCACCACTGGCTATTCTCTGTGCCAGCTCCTTTAGGTTCCTCATCATTCTTTCATCTCGGAAATCATACGGAAACGTCTCTGTCCATTCGGTCAGCAACTGCAGGACTTTGGGTGCGATTTTTCGTATCCAGCTCTACATGAAAACGGTAAGGAGGAACCTGACATGTAACAGCAGTACAGCACGTACCTAACCCAAAGGAAGAACCCCTTTGTGGTACACTGTGGAGCACCAGGGTATGACGGCCAGCTACATTTTTAGGGTTTCATTGAGCGCTGCATTACAGGCCAGAGCCAGTACCCACTGAAGCCAATGAAGATATTCTCCTTGGCCTAACGGACCTGCAAATTAGGCCCCAGGTAGGTGGAAAATCGTAGAATGAGATTTACGCTTTTCCCTCGCTACCAGGAGCATCTCCGTGCAAGACATTTATTAGCATTTCTGTAACCTACGGCTCACCGTCGACAATGAAAGTGTTAAGCTCCAGTTCTGCTAAGCCTTAAGCACGCACTGTACCTTACAGGGAGAAAGCAGTGCAATAATTCAAGTATCTTAATTTAATTTGTGTTATTTTCTACTGGGGCAGAGGTCCTACCCAAACGTCCACACCCTCCTCCCTTTCAACTCTAGACATGACACACAGAAAGTCCACGTGTGCCCATGCGAAGGGGCAAGCAATCGAAGCCCCTCTGCAAAGACTGAAGCAAGACTGTAGCTTAAGGATGCGAAACAGGTCAGTCTGATTTCCATTCACAAGCTCAGGTCACTGTTACATCTTTCCAACATTTTGGTGTTATACAGCAGGCTGTTCAGAACCCTGAAACAAAATCAACCACTGCAGGGCCAGCACAGGACACATCCGCAATAGCAAGCAACACACCGCGCAGCAGCAGCAGCGACAGCCGCCATGGAGGACAGGCTGAGGAGCAGGCTAACTTCCTGCAAACGTCAGGGAATACAGGATCCAATTTTAGTTGCTCGTATGAGGCTTTAAATTTGTTTAATCCTCCCTATTGAGGACCCTCTTGAGCAGGAACATTTTGCTGTGGGCAGGGCAGAGACATTTGACGGGAACTAAGAGGAGTCCCAGAAAGCCAGGGACCTTACCTTCTCCAGGCCAGGCTCGCTTCGTCGCTGCTGCTCGAAGCACAGATGGCAGACCTTGGCCATGAGCTCGTATGGATGCATGAACAGGCGTGAGCTGAGAAGGAAGGTGAAGATGTATGTCCTCTGCGAACAAGAGGAAGATAGAGAAAGGGATAAATCACCAGCAGTTTAATATTTTCTCAAAATGCGTTCCTGACAAATTGGTTGCTCATACTTCACTGTCTCCAGGAGAAAACGGGGCACGTGGCTGTGCCAAGTGCTATTGCTACAGCAGCAAGTATTGCATTTAACACTTGTCATTGCACCAGAATCAGCATTACACATTCCCGCTTAAGCCAAGTTGGGCAAGATTTAACTAAAACCAGGCAGGGCAAGGCTGGTTCAGCTCTCCTGTTGTACATAGCATTATTATAAGCTCAGTATCTGAAATTACTCAGAATAAAATGTCAACACATCTTCTCTTGCGCTACAGTAAACCTTTGTCAGAGCCATTACTGGATCATATAACACCAGCCTGACAACAGAATAAAATTCATGCTGCAAGCCCGGGCTACTTAGAGTAACAACAGAGAAATCTTGTCTGCTTCCACATTGCTAGTGAAAGTGAAGAGTCTTCAGAAAAAAAAAAAACAACAAAAGATGCCAGATTGTAGAGCTCACTCCATTTTGCCACATGCACCACCTCCCCAACGCTGTGCTTGCCTGTCTGACCTCAGTAAACCACACACTGTGACCGTGTATGTCCTTTAAGAAGCCCCAAATACTATTTCTCATAATATTGCTTGTCTCCTGGGTGAAAGCAGAAAGAACAAGATAGCTTAATTTTACAGAATAAAAATTAGTAACTCATTCTGAGGTTACAAGAAGAGGCTCCTTATTTTATTTTCCATATATCATGACTTGAACTCACTGTGAGATAGATATTCAAAATATCCACTCCACTCCCTGCACTGCCATTCATCAAGTACCTATGGCACCCACAAGAAAGATTCTACAATGTTCCAGCTCTAGGGACTTTGAATAAATCACCATGTTCGACTACTCGGTGTCTAAATTGCTACATGTTTAAATTCTACACTAAGCATTAATGGATAAGCACTAGCTAAAGCACCGTCCGGTGCTGCTGTCAACTCTGATCCAAGTTAGAAAAGATCCTGTCTTGGAATCGTGAACAGATATCTGACAGCAACAGAAGCAGTTATGTCTTCAGTAGGAGCCCTTTGACACAGAGGGACACAGCTTCATCACCCCTCAGTCATCCCATCGGGCCCCCCAACCTGCCAATAACCTTCTTCTTTACTAAGAATTACATGAAAGGTCTCAATGCACGGATGTGCTTTGGCCAAAAATTCTGAGATGGCCATGTCCTGTCCTCACGCCAGCCTCTGCTGACTTCCAGCCGTGTGGTGCCAGCTGCTGGCCGCAAGACACACGTGGGCCACAGAGAAGCAACGGGAGATACGCAGGAAAAACTGGTTGAACTAAATGCATTCATCCTGTCCCACCGGCAGTCACGCCTGCCAGATTTTTGAGGGTCAATGGAACATACCATCTGTCAAACAGCAAGCCACACCAGGGACCTGCTTTACAAACAAGTCGCTGGGGTCACACACCTCACAGCAGGAGTGAAAAAGAGAATGAGACCTCCTAGGGCAGGCGAGTCACTGCCTGCTGCGCTCATGCGAAGCACGAGTTTATCCGGTCACTGCTGGCCAGGTGCCTGAACCCCCTCCTCGTCAGTTTGACCCAACGCCTTCTGCCTCTGCGCAGACGTCAAAGGTTCTCTTTACAGCTGGGCGTACAGACTTACGTCGGGATAGTAATCAATGCTGGGCACCAAGTGCTGGATCAGAGCTTCCAGAGACCCCGACAGGAGGCTGTTGTCGTGGTAGTAGAGCCCCCCACGGTCATCCTCCCCGGACTGGAACAGGCTCCTGCTGTAGCCACCGGCGT